TCATTACCATTTTTTTTTACTGGGTGGTTTCAATGGCAGATGCTGTAGCCAGGCTGATTATCACAGTTTTGTGCACTGTTTTATTAAACTAGGGCACGCTCTGTCAATATCACAGCAAGCTGGCAAAATACTGGCCCCCTTGTTTTTCAAACCATACCCATAGTTCATACTTGTTCAATCAAAGGTTTGTTTGTCCAACATAAGCTGTACACTTTCGTTTGGCTGAGTTTGAATCTCACCAACATGTAGATTTCTGTTGCGCAACTTTATAAATTATGTACCATTAATATTATAATATTAATGGTACAAGTTCAAAGAAAACTTAGCTCGCACCCATATTTGGGTTTGAATCCCATTTGACAGAGCTGGTCTCTAAACAATTAAAGATAAATTGATAGGCATATTGCTCTGTCAATATCACAGCAAGCTGGCAAAACACCAGCTCCCTTGTTTTTCAAACCATACCCATAGTTAACACTGTATGTTGCTGACTGCCTTTTTCAATCAAAGGTTTGTGCTACATACTGTACACTTCCCTTTGGCTGAGTTTGAATTTCAGTATACATGTAGAATAATAATATGGTACAATATAAGTATATAATGTATGTAACCGTATTTGGGTTTTAATCTGATTTGACAGAGCTGGTCTGTAAACAATTAAATATTAAATTGATAGGCCTACTGTTGTTCCAATCTGTTATGATCAGACTTTTTATTATTTTTTACTAGTTGGTTTCAATGGCAGATGCTGTAGCCAGGCTGATTATCACAATTTTGTGTGCTGTTGCAGTAAACTAGGGAACGCTTTGTCAATATCACAGCAAGCTGGCAAAACACATCAGTTCCCTTGTTGTTCAAACCATACCCCATAGTTCATACTGTACATGTAAGTTGCCGAATGCCTTTTTCAATCAATGGTTTCTGCAACATTCACTTGTTTTAAAAGCTTAGGGAAGATTAATTTTCTCCCCTATTGTATGTAGCTTTTCTGAAACTGAATCCCAGCTGACCTTCATTGTGTTAGTCTTCTGTTTGGTCATATTAATGTGGTACAAGTAAAGTGTACAAGGAGCGCTTAGCTCACATTCATAATGGTTTGAATCCCATGTGACGTAGTTCTCTAAACAGTTAAGTTATCACATCAACACTTTCTTAATAAGATACATTTGGAGGCATACATCTACAATCTACTGTTGTTCAAAACTGTTATGATCAAATCATAATTTATGTCCTATGTGGCTGAATGCCTGTTGTAATCAAAGGTAATTTATGGTACATGCGTTTGTTTTAAAAGCTTTAATTAGAGAATATTTTCTCCCCCAGTCTTGCTGAGCTGAAATCCATGCTGACCTTGATGTAGGTTTCTTTTTGTATAATGATAATACTGTACAGTTTCAAGAGTTTGGTTTGAATCCCACTTGTTTTTAAACCAGGCCCATTGATAAAAATATATAATTTATATGTTGCTCTATGTCTTGTTTAATCAAAGTTTTAACCTTCGTGGGCATGTCTTATATTAGTTTGAAGGATTTGCCTACTCCTCGGCTTTTCTTGGGTCTCAATCCCAGTTGTTAATAGCTTCCATCCTTAAAAAGTGTCAATGCTTGTTGACATCAGCTTACGTTCTCTGGGCAGTTCAATCCTGGTAGATCTTTACTTACAATTATTCAGTGAATTATTATGACCTCTAGTAATTAAAGACCCACGACCCCATGTGTATCGTTGTACCACCGCAGCGAAATAACATTTAGTGATCAGAAAACGGTTCGACTATCTTTGAAAAAAGTGTTTCGGCAAAATTCCCCAGAGCGAATAGAAAATAGTTAAAATGCGCGCGAAAATATGAAGTAAGATATGCAGTCCAGCTTACCGGTTGCATCGGTTAAATCGACTATCTTCCTCTGTTTGTGTTCATTATGAGTCCAGACGTAAACGTGCTGATTACAGTGATCACAACACCGTCGTTTTCTCTTTGGGCAATGCATCTGTCTCACAGTGTGAAGGTGTCATGTTAAGACGGTTCGCTGATCTGACGCCGGCAAGGCGCGGTTGCATAGCTTAAGTGACCGCAATGGATGAAGGATTTGGCGGGAAGGAATCAACTTCGTCCCCGGGGTCTTCTCCAGAAGACGCTGGGAGTTTGGGCAAGGTTGAGTCGACTCCCGATAACTTGAACCTTCAAGTTCGAATTATCGGGAGTTCGAGATACCGGAAGTTTGGACTTCGGAGCAAATAACCACGGAGATAAAGAAAAAAAAAACGGTTTTCTAATATTCACATTTAATTGCGGTGACTACAAAGCAGTTAACCTTGGGGGTGGGAAGCCGAGGTTTCGTTAAGAAACTCGGTTCCGGAAAGGGGTCTCCCAGTAACAGGAAAGGAACTGTCTAGGGCGTGTCGATGTATTTGTTACACCATAGAACTGCTTCTCTGTCATAAATTATGAGATATCTCATCATGCTGTGAACAACTGATCCCGGTGAGGTGTTTAGACAAACGGTTGTTAACTGCAGAATTAACTTAAACCAGGGGCCTGCTTAAACAAGTTAAGACCTCGGGCTCAACCCCCGGGGTTTACTACTGTGAATTCTTGTTGGGAGTATACCGTCCGGTTCTCCAAATCCTGACCCTATTTCAGACCCAAAAATGTTATTTTCCACACCCGTTTTCAGACCAGACCTCTGAAATAAATATCCGTTTTCAGACCTGGCCTTAAGGCAGATATTATGTCATCATTACTTAGATTAGAGCGCAAACAAAAAAATTCTTCAAATGCATTTCGAATTCGCATATTTCATCCTCTTATTTAAAACTAAAACTATAAATACTTTTAAACACTCTCGTAGTTCCCTCTAAATCCATACCCGATTCCAGACCGAAAAGGGCAGAGTGTATACCAGTTTTTAGACCAAAACGGTGCAAAAACACTACCCGATGGGGCGGCACATACCTATATAGCTTATATAAGGCAGTACCCCTCTGCTTTAATTGGCGTATAAACAGCAACACAGCACGGAGACGGCCATACTTAAGGGTAAGAATGATATTTTGATGTCTATGAACAAGCAACATGTCACCTTGCTTGTATTATTGATTTAAGTGCAAGCTTTTGACACGATACATCATGATAATTCTGATTTGGAAATCACTGACAATGCGCTTGCCTGGTTTAAATCGGATCTATCTGACCGGTTCCAGGGTATCTCTGTAAATGGTAGTCTCTCCGATCAGTTTCCTTTAAAACAAGGTGTTCCTGAAGGATCATGTTTGGGCCCCTCGCTTTTCACTATCTACACGCGCAAACTGTTTCAGATCGTTGAACGCCATCTCCCTCAAGTCCACTGCAACGCGGACGATACACAGTTGTATGTATCATTCAGCCCTAATCGATCTTCGGATGCTGATTTTGTCATCAAGTCCATGACTGACTGTATCAGTGATATTAGGAGTTGGATGATTTCAGACAATCTTATGTTAAACGATGATAAAACAGAATTTTTAATTATAGGTACTAGGCAGCAGCTGGCAAAGGTTAACATCAATTGCATTAGGGTTGGGTTGACTGATGTTTGTCCTGTAACAGTAGCTAGAAACCTAGGCTTATGGTTTGATATGAGCAGCTCACTATGTCAATTAATAATAGAGACCTTTAGATTCGAGGCCGATGACGACTACGAGTACGATATTTCCCGTCTCCTCAAAATGTAGACTTCCCGGAAAGCTTCATTTGCTGACACTCGCAAAAACTGACATACTGATAAACGGATACTGGGATGGTATTCAATCCAACAAATTAACCTCTTATGTCCTGAAAAGTTTCAAAGTCGTGACCAATACAAATGTATCTAGTTAAAGACGGGAAAAAGCAAGAGAGCTAAAATTATCTCACTCAAATCGCCTTGAATCGGGATTGACGTAAGGGCACAGATGCCCGTACCAAGTAATACCCAATGGAAGTAAGATAAAGTGTTTTTATTTATAATTCTATTATATTTATAGGGCTGTCAAAAAGTTTTTAAGTAGCAGGTTAATAATGAATAGTAGGCGGCTTTGGAACTCGCACCAAAGGCACACGTTTTTTGAGGGCCGGGGCATCTTGGGGCATTTTGAAAGTCTCGGAAATGGCGTTTCCAGGGCTTTTCAAGAGGTATTTTCTTCCATGGACGCCATGTTGTTTCGTCCGATTACACACAAGACGCAAGACTGGGAACAATGCCGTCGAAACGTCCAAGGCGTTCCACGACATTGTACGGTTCGAACGTTTCACGAATCTAAACTTGAATATGGGTTCAAAGTCATTCAAAACTGGGAAACGGATGCTTTACAATAAATTTTATTCGGTGGTGATTATTTTTGTCGGCAGTTATGGTAGAAGAAGATGAAACTAGCCGGCGGTTTTGGCCCGCAACCGACCCTTATTGACAGCCCTGCATTTATGTTTTCTAAAGCATATCGTAGACATCCCCAAAATAAACTCTTATAGAAACTCATAGCTTGAGCTTGAGCTTGGGTTCCCTGTGACCATATGAGTCATTGAAAAACCTTAAATGGGAAGCTCTCTTTTCATATGATAGTACTTTATAAAGGCAAAAGGATAAGACGTTTTTTCTTTTTTTTTTTTTATCGTGGACCGAATCGGACTTTCGACTGTTGCTCCATACCAGAGATTATGGCTGCAAAGCTGAGTAATTTTACAAGCAAATATAATTTGAAATCAAGCGCAGATGCTCTGCCCTGTCTGTCAAGCATATACAGACAAGGAAAGGTAATGCTACTATTCCCCCTTTGAACAAAATATAGCTTGACTAAACACTTATTTGCATTTTGGTGATCACTGCAGCTGACAAATCTCAGGGAATCGCTCTACCAATCCCGAATAAAATGATAAAATGATGAATACAATCTTTTGTGCTAGTGTTTGTTTTTGTTTTCCTTCCCGGTAGCATAGAAAAAGAATAAAAAATGTGCGGTCAAACTGCTTTAAGATTGGTAAATAGCCATGAAAAAGTAATGTACAAAAACCCGCACACAAACCTGAGTTTTCCATCGCAGAAAGCAGATCCTAAGCTTAAAATTAAACATGAAAAGGTATCTGATTCTCGTCATCTGTCTTAGCCTTGCATTAGGCCAAGAACCGACGCTACCGCCAGAACCAACAAGTCCACCATCTCCATCAAAACATCCTTTTAAGGTAGACATTTTTTTAGCTTAGAGTTCCTATAAGACCAAAGAGTGGAAAGATATAGACTAAAATAGGGGTAGTTTATCAAGAATTGTGGTGGTGTACAATAATAGTATAGAAGTACCTCAAAGTAGCAAATGCCATATAGTGCTTCAAGTTTCTTGGCCCCTGAGCTGAAATAATAACCAAGTGTTATCAGTAATCTTTTTCCTACTAGGAACTCTAAAAGAAAGATTTCCGAAATTTTTCCAACTAATGCTCATTTTTGGCCTTTTTAAGTAACTTAAGAATTTAACTCGAAAACTTTGGCCCACTTTTTCAAGTCACAATCTGTTTTCCATCCTCGCCAGCGAATCTCAAAGTCATTCACTCATAGTTGAGGCATAGTAGTAAAGAAGTTTTACCCAAAGCGGAACCATTGGTTCAGGGTTTTCTTTGATTCCATTGTGTTTTTAGGGAAGTTTTTGGTATTACTTGAATATATTTCGAGACATAGCCCCTGTAACTGGGCATCGTGAACCAGTCCTTGTCCAAACCTTTTTGTTCTATGGTTCTCGACAAGCGTGGTGCTGGACAAAAATTCGGCATTCTTTGTTTACAATAATTGTTTCTTTGCTTTTGTTATTATCTTTCTGGCCAGCACTGCCTCGAAACTTATAATCAATGCGTACAAGAAGCTGGTTCAGAATGGAAGCCTCAACAAGCCTGCTTTCTGGGATTCTATAAATGCCAGAATAAATACACGGTAAGTATTTGAGGGAAATATCGTCACTGTTGTATTCTTTGCATTTTGTTTGTTTGTTTCTAGGCTGCAGGCTTTTTTTTGTGCTCCATGCTGCAAGGAAGTAGCAAACAGCTACAAAAGGCCGTGCCTGTAAATTTTATCTCCGTTCCAATCACCCAAGGACCTTCTTTTTTGGAAAATGATATGAAAAAAGACACTACAAAGATGATTGTCTCATTTTTTATTATTTCATTTTCTTCTTTTGTTTTGTGTTCATTGTCTTTGAAAGATGCGTGCTAACACTACAACTTTTTACGTTTTACTATCTCCATTTAACCAACGTTTGCATAACATGTCACTTCGCTTAGACAGTAGAAAGCCAATTTATTCTTGACTTCGGCAGTACAGGAATCTGAATCGGAGTTAACCTGAGATCAGGCCCAATTTTAGCAGTTCTCATACATTCTCTCTTACGTGTTCCCGCTACCCGCCGGAATGTTATGTACAAAGCGAAACGAAAATAGAGCCTGATCTCAAGTTGTGGCGGAGTGAGATCCGTAAGTGAGGGACCCGCTCATTCAGTACCTAAGATATAACGGGGGGGTCAAGGGGGAGCAAGCCTCAAAAACAACCCCTTAAAATAATCCGCCACTGGAAATTACCACGTATTGAATACGATAATCCTACGGCTTTTGATTGTCATTATTTTTTTGCCCGTTCGACTGACGCAGGGTAATATGTAACACGTTTAGAGCATGACCGATGTTAGAGCATGACCTTTGTTATGTGAATCTAGCCGATTTTTTGAAAACCGGCAAAAGTAACCAAACGAAATTTGCAGCGAAATTTGAGCGAAAGGGCGTCAAAAGGTAGGTTTCTTAAACCCGCGAAGTTACAAAATGATAGTAACGATGGAAAAAGATAGGAGAAAAAACAAGAGCGAGGAGCCGGAAGGAAAGGAGGAGAAGAGGAAAAAACAATGGCTGCTCTCTTAGCTTTTATAATAGCTACATAGGAGAGCTTTTGACGGAAAAAAACTCTTGGACGCAAAAGGTCCCTGATTTGGCGATAACGTTATCAAAACTCGGGCTAGGAATACATATTCGTAAGTTCTTGAATATTTAAAATTCAGTTTAAACTTTACTTTACAGGCAGAATGCAGAAAAATTTACAAAAACAATGGATGTTACCAGGCTCTTGGAAGAGATGAATGTATGAAGAAACTACGTGCCTGTTATGGATCCAGCTGATAAATATTGTTATGCATAACGTGATAAATTTCATGTCTGGTAGTGAAATAGTGAAATAAAAACTTTGAGCATTAATAGATACTCTATTTTGGTGTGGTATTTCGTGCTTGGCAATGGACTACAATAGGCCACTTCCGAGTTCCAAAAACTCTCACTTTCAAAACGAGGCTAAGTGCAAGGCCTTTGTTGTGAAAATGACTTCCCACTTAGCCTCGTTTTAAAGTAGAGGCTTGAGGCAACTCGGAAACGGACTTCTGAGCTGTTGAGTGTACACTGTAACGGCAATTTAAAGGATAAGACGGAATCCATCAGGAAATTGAGTAATTTTAATATTCTGTGGACAAAAACCTTCTACTAGAATAATTTAAAGCATAGTATTGCATTCATTTTAACTTTTTTCAAGAGCCATAGATGTATTTAGTCCTCTGTTAACACCAAAGAAAATTTCGTGTGGAAGCCTGAGAAAATAAATTTCTAATTTTACAAAGTGGACCAAAATGAAATCTTACGCATGAAAGTTTACTTGCGTTTTTATATTATGCCTGTGAAATTTCTCAGGCTCCCATGATAAATTGTTTTGTGTTCGGTGTTATTACAGCTAGCTAATTATTACTATAGCTCTTGGTGAATGTGAAAAAGGATGCGATGTGGTTCAGATTATTCGGGCACAAGGTTTTTGTCCACCGAAAATTAAATTTACTCAGTTTCTTGATGGATTCCGTCTTAAGTGCTTTGCTTTTAATACTTTTCAGCGGCTAAAAAAAGTAATTAACAAATGACTATAGAACAGATTGATTGCCAAAAAACGTAGGCGCCGCATTTTAAAAATTTTCATTTACCCTGCAATTTTGCTTTTATAAACCAATAAAGCTTCGGTCCCTTTTAGGAAAGTGGCGTACTCAGTACTCGTTTATCCATGAAATCGTCTGTGAAGTACATAGGATTGGTTCTTGTTCTGGGGTTTCGTTAGGAGATCGGTCTGAATTTAAAGTTAACTGATTTATGGACTTGTACGTGATCTTGGATAGGAAGAAAACTGGTGTGAAGAATTTGACTTTGAGTGGCTGCCCTAGTTTGTTGAATTTAATATAATTTAAATGATTTCAGACTGTTTTTAAGTCATTTTTACCCCACAAATGGAACAAAATGGCATCAGTAAGTCGTGAAGGCTCATGAATGAAGACGGGAGTCCTGAATGAGTTTGTGTTAGTGGTGAGGTAGAGCAGAACCAAACAAAAGTTTCAACCTTTTCCATGGCCAACAAACAGGGAAAAATGTCATGCTTCGACGAAATTAAATAACATCTATCAAAAAATGATGATAATAATAATACCTTATTTGTACTTAATTTCGCGATTTTCGCGATTTCGATGGGGGAAAATGATAAAAGATCATTAAATTTCGCGAAAGCGTTGTCAACGTCATTTTATTTTCAAAAAATTGTGTGAACTACAACCTTTCTAAACAAACTGGAACTTATTGTCCTAGAGTCCGCAATGTTCCTTAACATCCAGGTCTTCAAAGGGATCTTCCGGTGGAAGTTTCTTTGAGCCACTAACAACATCAGTTACGCCAGCCTTCTTCTATCCTTTTGCAATTGACTGTCTGCCTTCAGAGCTAGACAAATGGTTGTGCATGCTAACGATTCAAGTTGCATGAATTGGTTTGAAAACGGAGAGTCGCAGGGCAACATCAACATCATCGAGGACCATCCCTGAATCTAGTTGACTTTGAATTTGCGCCGAGTACCAAAGCCGTGAATTGGTCTTTTATAAACTTTTTTGCTTCTCTATCAACAGTCAAATCATCTTCAGATGAAGATGAGTAGTTAGATTTTCTGCTCGATATACTCAAGACATGTGAAATCTTTGCAAATTACCTTTATTGATCACACAAGATGCAAAATGGAGCTTACCAGGGAAAAATTTATTATTTATGTCGATAATAAGCTGTACATGTCGTTGTTGATCATGTTTATCAAGTTTTTTGTGCTTCAAATTTCTTACCATCACCCATGGTATTTAACTTCGCGTGTGTAAATTTCGCGAGGATTTTTATTCGCGAGGCTTTAATTTCGCCATTTAAATTTTTACAATCGCGAAAATCGAGAAATTAAGTACGAATAAGGTAGTAAGTGTAATAATAATCAGTAATAATAATAATTGTTATAATAATAACAATAATTATGTTAATTTAGATTTCACTTAACCTAAACAGGCAACGGAAACTGATTCTAATATAATAATTATACAGGTCAGTGATCTGAAAAAAGGCGTAAACTGCACACTGATGTATCGAGAGTATCTAATAAATGTAAAGAAGATCATTGCAGTTAAATGAGATTCAACTTATGCAGAGGTCATCAGGGTAGCACATGTTAGATACCATCATTAAATGTCAAGATACGAGAAAACCTCAAGATTTACTATTTAGGAAAAATTCATTTTGTTCTAGGTCTCCTACCGAGAAATAGTATGCTCAGAACGACACCTTTGACCGAGGCCTTAAACCCCTTGAGTAAAATGGAATTTTATGGTGGACACAAACGACCGGGGGAAGCAGAGTCGATGCACCCACGCAGTAAAGTGGATTATTTACTCATGGAGTCACTGTAAATGACAAAAATATATATATATTTTTTTAATTTTTGTGAACAGGAATCTCAATTAACGTTTGGGTCTACTTAGAAGTTCCTGATTACTTCAAATCGAACGCACTCTTAACTTCATGATAAGGACCATCTTTCACCGCGAAGCTCTCATAAAGAGAAACGAAGAGAGTTCAGGTACAGGGTCACCTCTTACTGAAATGAGTCACATGTTGGAAATTGCATAAATGACTTCAACACCAGAAAACTAAAAGCAAAAAAACTGAAATAAGACAATAAGACGCAATAATATCCGGGTTTAACTCTTAATCCTAAATGCATAACAAAATATTTGCTTTTCTTAGTTTATCTTTTTTGTTTTATATCTTTTTCTACATATTCTTCGCGGTCTGTAATTCGATTTCTTGTTTTTGAAAACACCTTAAGGTTCATCTGCTTTAAAAGAACCTTCCTCGCTCAGAGAGGTTGCTGGTTATTTCTGATTGTTGAATCTGTTTCAGCAAAGAAAACAACACCAAAGAACAAAAAAAAAAGAAAGAAAGAAATGGTGTTAACGTTTATTTTGCTTTGGAACAATTAACTGCAGCTAAGGTGAATAAATATATTTTCACAACTTCAACAAACAAGTATTGTTATGCAGTAGATTTTATTTACCTTCACGACTTGTTTTTCCAGCTTCAACCCTTTTTCCTAAAATTGTATTTTAATGTTAAAGAGTAGCGAGCTTTCATGATTCACCCAACGACTGTGCCCCAAGATAAAGCTTCTAAGGGTCTCATGTATCTTGAGATGTTATATAATTTCTAATATCATAGTTATGATAAACTATCAGTACATTCTAATTCTAGATTCTCAGAAGAAGTATACATCAGGGTGACAATATTACTTTTTTCTTTTATATTTATGTGTATTAGTCCCCTTTGCCTCGGCTAAATCTGTGGAAATTAAAAGAATATCTACCCTTAAACAACGTATAAGGGATAATTATCATGAGGACGAATGAATAACTAAATTCTGCGGTATTTTAGAATAAGATGTGTTTGACACAGTAAGCATTGAAGGATAGGGAGATGTCCATCTCCTTGAATGAATAATCCACGTTTTGTACCCCAATGCTAAAAATTTTTATCTGCATTATCTTCTTTTACAACGATATCTTTGGGTGGTTTTTATAGTTAACAGTAGTTATTCCACACATTCCCATTACCAATTTCACAATGTAAATTTATCCAAAGTATCACAGCTAAATAAATAACGTTTTGTGATAGGTTCAGTTAATAGCATTCGTGGGTGATGCTTGCCTTATTGCCTTCAACAAGGCCATAATATTAGAAAATAAGTAATCTTTGGTACCTAAAATCTTAGGGGTACGAGCAAGAAGTACACTGGGTACTAGAGGTATTTTTCCTCTTTGGGTTCGGCTCAGGCCGACAGGTTTTCGGCCTGTTAGGATATAAGATTTGACCGAAACCGGACTGAAAATTAAACGCGCATGATAAAGACCATGGCACCCAGGGTAAACCAGAGGTAGCCTGAGATTTTACATCAAAGCGAACAGAAAATAGATGAGTCTTCAAAAGTCAGACTGGCATCAAATGAGAGACGGACGGCTGGTTGTTTTATTTCGCCACTTTTAATTTAGGTGAGAACCGACTGAAATCCTGAACAAATGCCACCCTAAAAAGGTGTGAAATACATTTTTATGAAATTTGTTCATTTGGGTAAAGAGAAAGATATCCTTCGAGTAGAAAACAAAAGACAGCGATATATAAGTTTCACTGTAAAACGGCACCTCAAGGTTACTATTGAAATCAAGAAAAAAAAAGTCAGTTAGCCCCCGACAATGAAACGTATCGTTCTAGTTTTCCTTGCTTTAATAGCAGTCATTTATGCAGAACCCGATAGACATCCCTATGTGGTAAGTGTTATCATATATTTTTGCCGTTTTTATCGCTTAACAGTCATACTGAAAATGTATTTTTGTACGAGTTGCATTTCAAGTGGACAAGGAAATTAGCGCAATTGAATGATCCAATAAAAGAAATGAAGCTTAAACCTGACACGACATATCAAACCAATAGACCATTAAAAAATTCAGCAGTGATGTTTAGTTTAACCCGATATTAGTCTTCTTGAGACAGCTTTGAGGGAGTGCTAGGAGAGCGTATCCTTAATCTCAGTCTTAAGCAGGTAAACTGATTCGATTCTAATTAATGCCAATCTAATGATTTGGTTTTGTATCGAAGAAGTAGAACTTTTACGAAGATACATATTGTTCAGCAGTGTTCCGAGGCAATTAATTACAAAAACTTCGACGAGGTTCATGTTCACCGATGAACTTGATGAAAAGTTTTCAACATTATATATGCGATAAATTGAAACGACTTCTTTTTAGTGAGAATTTAAGGTAGAGGAAAATGCTTTTGATGATATAGCCATTTTTAAACGACAATCTTAACCCCAAGGGGCATTGCCATATAAAAATGATGAGTTTTGTTCATCGTACCTTTTAGAGGGTAAAAAGACTGCCATTAGAGTAACTGCAGTGTCGTTTAGCGGTATATAATCGAACGAAACAATTTTTGGGGGTAACTGCTTGGGGTCGTGGTTAACTTTAGGGAGAGCCGTTTTCGAAGAAGCCACCGCCCATGAGCATTCATGTCTGAAGGGAAATATTTCCGGAACCGGTTAACTTGCCATTTTGCTGTAGATCGGTTCTAAACGTCTGCAGTGTCAATTAGCGTCCACATTAGATACTGCGGACAAAGGCACATGTTTTACACGTTCAGTTGCTCATAAATTCGTTTATTTGTTGATTATAATTATTCATGATCTGACTTATGATCATCAGCAATGCAAAATTGACCTGTATGACTGCATGAACACTCCAGACAAAGGGACAATGGAGTGCTTGAAAGAATACATGACATGTATGGAGCAACTTATCCCAACCTTATTTAGGTGAGAACCGACTGAAATCCTGAACAAATGCCACCCTAAAAAGGTGTGAAATACATTTTTATGAAATTTGTTCATTTGGGTAAAGAGAAAGATATCCTTTGAGTAGAAAACAAAAGACAGCGATCTATAAGTTTCACTGTAAAACGGCACCTCAAGGTTACTATTGAACTCAAGGAAAAAAAAAGTCAGTTAGCCCCCGACAATGAAGCGTATCGTTCTAGTTTTCCTTGCTTTAATAGCAGTCATTTATGCAGAACCCGATAGACATCCCTATGTGGTAAGTGTTATCATATATTTTCGCCGTTTTAATCGCTTAACAGTCACACTGAAAATGTATTTTTGTACGAGTTGCATTTCAAGTGGACAAGGAAATTAGCGCAATTGAATGATCCAATAAAAGAAATGAAGCCTAAACGTAACACGACATATCAAACCAATAGACCATTAAAAAATTCAGCAGTGATGTTTAGTTTAACCCGATGTTAGTCTTCTTGAGACAGGTTTGAGGGAGTGCTAGGAGAGCGTATCCTTAATCTCAGTCTTAAGCCGGTAAACTGATTCGATTCTAATTAATGCCAATCTAATGATTTGGTTTTGTATCGAAGAAGTAGAACTTTTACGAAGATACATCTTGTTCAGCAGTGTTCCGAGGCAATTAATTACAAAAACTTCGACGAGGTTCATGTTCACCGATGAACTTGATGAAAAGTTTTCAACATTATATATGCGATAAATTGAAACGACTTCTTTTTGGTGGAAATTTAAGGTAGAGGAAAACACTTTTCATCATATAGCCATTTTTAACCGACAATCTTAACCCCAAGGGGCATTGCTATATAAAAATGATCAGTTTTGTTCATCGTACCTTTTAGAGGGTAAAAAGACTGCCATTAGAGTAACTGCAGTGTCTTTTAGCGGTATATAGTCGAACGAAACAATTTTTGGGGGTAACTGCTTGGGATCGTGGTTAACTTTAGGGAGAGCTGTTTTCGAAGAAGCCACCGCCCATGAGCATTCATGTCTGAAGGGAAATATTTCCGGAACCGGTTAACTTGCCATTTTGCTGTAGATCGGTTCTAAACGTCTACAGTGTCAATTAGCTTCCACATCAGATACTGCGGACAAAGGCACATGTTTTACTCGTTCAGTTGCTCATAAATTCGTTTATTTGTTGATCATAATTTTTCATGATCTGACTTATGATCATCAGCAATGCAAAATTGACCTGTATGACTGCATGAACACTCCAGACAAAGGGACAATGGAGTGCTTGAAAGAATACATGACATGTATGGAGCAACTTATCCCAACCTTACCACCAATGCCACCATCTGTAGTAAGTCAACTTAATGTGTAGTACAAATGTCAGGGACCGCGGAGGGGGAAGGGCTGGTAGGGCCGCGGCCCCACCACTTTTTTGCGCCCCGACCCCACTTTTGGAAAATCAAATACTATGATTTTATTCCTTTTTTCGATTTTCAATATGAAAAAATTATTTCAATTGTCAGCCCTCCCACTTTTCACCTTGTTCCGCGGTCCCTGAATGTAGTCGATAGAGTCACTGTTACGTCAAAGGGTAAACGTCAGATTCAAGTTAAGAATTTCTATAAAAATAGGCAACGAGCAGTTGAAAACAGTCCAAGACATTTCTAATGGGTAAAACTTGTAGAAGTGATGAAAATTAAAAGACGTGTAAAGGGAAAACACGGTCACACGTTACAAATTCACGTTTGCGGATTGCCAAAAAAGTGACTAGAAACCACTTTATTCAATAAGGTAGCATACTTCTTCGTACGGCTGGGTGCTTCAAATTAAAGGCCCTTCCTCTTTCCCCCTCTTCTTCATTTTGTGAAAGCTGTTGCAGAGAATTTTGAATTTAACTTGCAAAGTGAATACTTCTTGTAATGAGCTTTCCAGTTTTTTTTCTTTCTTTTTTTCATAGTCATATTTTGACTAACTGTGTATACCTCTGCTTATTTTAGCAATGTGTAAAGGACTTGTATGAATGCTTCACAAAGAACGAAGTTGGCAACTTCGCCTGTGTGAAGACATTTGGTTCCTGCTTAAACCAAGAGCTACCGTCATATATAGTATGTATGCTCTTTTAGTAAAATAAAATTGATCACAGTGCCACACTGAACAGCATCGACTTCATTGCTTTACGAACCTCAAATCCAGACACTAACTTATAATTTACCAGAATTTCAAAATTAACCACTTATTATACTGTATAATTATATTCTCTTGACAGCAAGCCTGCAACAGTGAAGTCCAGCAGTGCTGGAACTCAGTAACAGGTTATATGGACAGATTAAAGTGCTGCACGTCTTTCGCATATTGCTTTCTTAACGGACCAACTGCTGCTCCCAGTGCAGCTGTATTTGATGCAATTGAGGAGGAGGATCAATCGAATGACTTAAGTGATGCTGCTGTGAGTCTGTACTTTACTTATGATTTTGCTAGTTGTCAATGTTTGTATCAGTGATAGATTTCATTTCAAGCAAATAATGATACAGTGACACCAATGAAATAGAAAAACCTTCACATGCACTGCATTAGAGCGGTTTTCACTTGACTGTCGTAAAACCAAAACTAAAGTAAATACACTAGCCAACCAAAGGGCGTAGTAAAACCAAAACCAAACCAATTCCTCAATTACTTTCGACAGTCAAGTGAAAACCGCTCTAAAACAACTACTCACAAAACGCGTAAATAACAGTGGAATTCACTATAAGAGGCCTTAATACAGTACTCGCAAAAAAATCATAAACAAAAACGTTAACTGACTCGCAGAAAGTGTCAGAAGAACGGGTGGAATTTTTTTGAGCGACTTGTGGTGGAAAGAAAACATGTGGTTCAATTTTCACAATTATATTACATTATTTGTTTAAAATCGGAGCATTTTTTTAAAAAAATCCCATTCATCTGTAAACCACGAACGATAAAGCTAATACCACCTAAGTTTACTGTAACTTGCTTTGACTTGTTTGTTTGCTTGTATATTTTGTTAGAAATGTAAGGGCGATTTTGGTAAATGTCTTAAAGAAGAAAAAGGCAAGAATCCCAAGATCTGCTTCAAAAAACTTAGAGACTGCATGGTTGCACTGATTCCTCCATATGTGGTAGGTTAAAGCAGATTAATAATAATAATAATAATAATAATAATAATAATAATAATAATAATAATAATAACAAAAATAGTAATAGTAAGTAAAAAGTAAATAAATTACCTAAAGGGATATGCGTATTAATTCAGGGCCAAAATCTCTCAACAGTTCTATCTAATTTTGATGCAAGGATGATAAATGGTCGTATTGTTTAATATTTGTGGCAAGATTGACCTTTTACACTATTCATAGAAGAGTATCATAGGAATTGCTTAGCCAATATTTAAAGAAAGAACGCTGACATATACCTCTTGCTTTCAGATCCAGTGCAAGGATAAAGCTAAACAATGCTATAACAACGCTAGCGGACTGGAGGACAAATTGACGTGCGGAAAAGAATTTGCCATCTGTATCAGTAATGGCGCGCCCACTCTGGCTCCTCCTACATCGTGATATCCCTTGTATTAGAAGGAGAGGTTGCCCTTAAAATTTTAAGTATAAATCTTTCGTTAATTTCAATGAGATTGAAAGGAGAATAAAGTCAAACATGATGAATAATTCTGTCTTCATTTTTTTGGGTAGCGTGTAATATGGGTGGGTTGGGCGGACACGGCAGTGAAGCTGCATTAGGCTTTCTCCAACTTTTTCCCTTGTGTCCAAGTGTCCTGTCATGATCTTATTGAATACAGAAAAACCATAATCGTCTCTTTCGCTAATGAAAAGGGAAGGAATGCAATCTTTGCATAAGGAAGTAGAAGGAAAAATGAAAAGGATAGGTTGCCTGGAGAATGGTCTTCTTTTTGCCAATCGCCTTACAGTCAGAAGCTTATATAAACAGTTCCCTTTATTTATTTATTAATTTCCCCTTTTTGGTTAGGCTGAAGATAAATGAATGTTCTATAGGCCACTTGCACTAAGAGGTCACGTGACCAATGCTTCCTTTAAACAATGAGTTGGAATCTTGATGATGCCAAAAATTGTTAGAGCACACAAAAATTATCTTACACCCGAAATTTGAGAGGAAACGCATTTAAGGGAGATATTTTGTGGCACTTTGATTTTTGAGCAAAGTAGTATGATTTGTATTGGCCGCCATGTTGGAGGGCATGCTCTTGCCCTCCAACATGGCGGCCAAAACTACTTCTGGCTTATATCTTGTTCAACGTTTCATGGTTACGCTCAAATGGGCTGTAAACGTTATCACATCATCTTTTCAACATTTTCCTTGAAGTTTAAGTGCAAAATTTGTGTTCAGAGAGAGGTAATTCATAATTTAAAAATCACATTCTGGTCACGTGACCATTTACGAACTTATTTATTTTAAGGAGATGGTGCGGGTTTGAAAAACCAAATCACCATTATTTTGTTTAAGATATGACCCACTAATCGTTTTTCGAAGGCAAAATCATATAACTTTCATTTTCATAAAAACGGTGTCACATGCCTCTTAGTGCAAATGGCCTATTACAAGAGGGAAAAGCAACGATGTAACAAACAGCGGTCGAATAAAAAGCTTAAAGGACGTCCTGATATTTGTTGTTATTGTAGTGATGTTTGTCCCTAGGGGGAGAAGGATCTTCAATCGCGGGCTTGCACGTGACGTCATAGCGGTCATGTTGTGGATCAAGAACAGAATCATTTCCCCCTTCTTGGACACTAAACTCCATTTTCATGTAAAGTGTTCGCGCAAATGGCCGCCTTGTCACGTGATTGCAAACAAAGAATAGCCGGATTAATCACCAGGCCCTAGCTCGTTTACGGGAGGTGTTGTTAAAAGCCCACGGGGGTATTAACTATTCTTCTTTTATCCCGCACAAAGAATATAGTTAGTAGAAAGGAGACATTGCCGTCTTGCAAAGTTCTTTGTATTCAGATAGGAACTACCAAAACTATTACATGTATCAAGCATGCTTTTTGCACTGGTACAAGTATTTACTACACATGTGCAAACGACTAATACAGAGTTAACATTAGAGAACCGTTCGTCGTTTCCAATTCTAGAAGCTAACGGAGTTTTCAAAACCTGATTTCCTTATTTCATTATAATTTTGATCTTTGTTTTGTTTTTTTTTTCAATTAGTAAAGAACTAATTACAAAAAAAAGGAAAGAAAAAGGAGAAAGTGTTCCATACTCAAAGTGTATACATTACAGCCAATAACAGCCGCACAATTGCTGAATGTAGCTTATTTTACAGATAGTTAATTATTTAGTTAATTATTATCAATATTATCTTTTTTACTTGTGATGACAAAAATGTGATAATCAATTTTTGTGCTTACTTGCCTAAAAGAATAATATATTTGTGAAGAAATCATCTGTTTATAATAAAAAAGCCACAATGGCCTTAACAGGTACGTGAGGTTCAGTATAGTGTAAGGAATTAGGAATTACGATCCCCCGGCTAAACTTTCTCTAGAACTTGGTTTAAGAGATGTTAAAGCGACCGGCACTACTATTAGTAAAAAAAAAAAATATTTTGACTAACTGTGTATACCTCTGCTTATTTTAGCAATGTGTAAAGGACTTGTATGAATGCTTCACAAAGAACGAAGTTGGCAACTTCGCCTGTGTGAAGACATTTGGTTCCTGCTTAAACCAAGAGCTGCCGTCATATATAGTATGTATGCTCTTTTAGTAAAATAAACTTGATCACAGTGCCACACTGAACAGCATCGACTTCATTGCTTTACGAACCTCAGATCCAGAAACTAACTTACAATTTACCAGAATTTCAAAATTAACCACTTATCATACTATATAATTATATTCTCTTGACAGCAAGCCTGCAACGGTGAAGTGCAGCAGTGCTGGAACTCAGTAACAGGTTATATGGACAGATTTAAGTGCTGCACGTCTTTCGCATATTGCTTTCTTAACGGACCAACTGCTGCTCCCAGTGCAACTGTTTTTGATGCAATTGAGGAGGAGGATCAATCGAATGACTTAAGTGATGCTGCTGTGAGTCTATACTTTACTTATGATTTTTCTAGTTGTCAATGTTTGTATCAGGATAGATTTCATTTCAAGCAAATAATGATACAGTGACACCAATGAAATAGAAAAACCTTCAAATGCACTGCATTCAAACAACTACTGACAAAACGCGTAAATAACAGTGGAATTCACTATAAGAGGCCTTAATACAGTACTCGCAAAAAAATCATAAACAAAAGCGTTAACTGACTCGCATAAAGTGTCAGAAGAACGGGTGGAATTTTTTTGAGCGACTTGTGGTGGAAAAAAACATGTGGTTCAATTTTCACAATTATATTACATTATTTGTTTAAAATCGGAGCATTTTTAAAAAAAATCCCATTCATCTGTAAACCACGAAAGATAAAGCTAATACCACCTAAATTTACTGTAACTTGCTTTGACTAGTTTGTTTGCTTGTATATTTTGTTAGAAATGTAAGGGCGATTTTGGTAAATGTCTTAAAGAAGAAAAAGGCAAGAATCCCAAGATCTGCTTCAAAAAACTTGGAGACTGCATGGTTGCACTGATTCCTCCATATGTGGTAGGTTAAAGCCGATTAATAATAATAATAATAATAATAATAATAATAGTAATAGTAAATAAAAAGTAAATAAATGACCTGAATAAAGGGATATGCGTATTAATTCAGGGCCAAAATCTCCCAACAGTTCTATCTAATTTTGATGCAAGGATGATAAATGGTCGTATTGTTTAATATTTGTGGCAAGATTGACCTTTTACACTATTCATAGAAGAGTATCATAGGAATTGCTTAGCCAATATTTAAAGAAAGAACGCTGACATATATCTTTTGCTTTCAGATCCAGTGCAAGGATAAAGCTAAACAATGCTATAACAACGCTAGCGGACTGAAGGACAAATTGACGTGCGGAAAAGAATTTGCTATCTGTATCAGTAATGGCGCGCCCACTCTGGCTCCTCCTACATCGTGATATCCCTTGTATTAGAAGGAGAGGTTGCCCTTAAAATTTTAAGTATAAATCTTTCGTTAATTTCAATGAGATTGAAAGGAGAATAAAGTCAAACATGATGAATAATTCTGTCTTCATTTTATTGGGTAGCGTGTAATATGGGTGGGTTGGGCGGACACGGCAGTGAAGCTGCATGAGGCTTTCTCCAACTTTTTCCCTTGTGTTCAAGTGTCCTGTCATGATCTTATTGAATACAGAAAAACCATAATCGTCTCTTTCGCCAATGAAAAGGGAAGGAATGCAGTCTTTGCATAAGGAAGTAGAAGGAAAAATGAAAAGGATAGGTTGCCTGGAGAATGGCCTTCTTTTTGCCAATCGCCTTACAGTCAGAAGCTTATATAAACAGCTCCCTTAATTTTATTTATTTATTAATTTCCCCTTTTTGGTTAGGCTGAAGATGAATGAATGTTCTATTACAAGAGGGAAAAGCAACAATGTAACAAACAGCGGTCGAATAAAAAGCTTAAAGGACGTCCTGATATTTGTTGTTATTGTAGTGATGTTTGTCCCTAGAGGGAGAAGGATCTTCAATCGCGGGCTTGCACGTGACGTCATAGCGGTCATGTTGTGGATCAAGAACAAAATCATTTCCCCCTTCTTGGACACTAAACTCCATTTTCATGTAAAGTGTTCGCGCAAATGGCCGCCTTGTCACGTGATTGCAAACAAAGAATAGCCGGATTAATCACCAGGCCCTAGCTCGTTTACGGAAGGTGTTGTTAAAAGCCCACGGGGGTATTAACTATTCTTCTTTTACCCCGCACAAAGAATATAGTTAGTAGAAAGGAGACATTGCCGTGTTGCAAAGTTCTTTGTATTCAGAGAGGAACTACCAAAACTATTTAATGTATCAAGCATGCTTTTTGCACTGGTACAAGTATTTACTACACATGTCCAAACGACTAATACAGAGTTAACATTAGAGAACCGTTCGTCTTTTCCAATTCTAGAAGCTAATGGAGTTTTCAAAACCTGATTTCCTTATGTCATTATAATTTTGTTCTTTGTTTTGTTTTGTTTTTTCAATTAGTAAAGAACTAATTACAAAAAAAAGGAAAGAAGAAGGAGAAAGTGTTCCATACTCAAAGTGTATACATTACAGCCAATAACAGCCGCACAATTGCTGAATGTGGCTTATTTTACAGATAGTTAATTATTTAGTTAATTATTATCATTATTATTTTTTTTACTTGTGATGACAAAAATGTGATAATCAATTTTTGTGCTTACTTGCCTAAAAGAATAATATATTTGTGAAGAAATCATCTGTTTATAATAAAAAGGCCACAATGGCCTTAACAGGTACGTGAGGTTCAGATCCCCCGGCTAAACTTTCTCTAGAACTTGGTTTAAGAGATGTTAAAGCGACCGGCACTACTATTAGTAAAAAAAAAACAAAACAAAACAAATCAAGTTCAAAACCAACCTATAGCTAAAGGTGAAATGAAAATAGCAGCACGGGGGTGGGGGTGTATTCTAAGAAGAGAAAAACCAAAAGGTTGCTCCAGTAAAGAATCGTTTTATAAATAGAATAAACAAAACACAAAGGGAGAAAACAGGCTATCTAAATAATTGTTCTCAAAAGTATTTTATTTATCGTTTTTTCAGTGGAAACTTATTAAACGCGTTCATGGCAATATTTGCCTCGTTTCGTTCACATATTCCTTACGCGTTTCTCTGGCCCTATCACTTGTCTCACGTGTACGGCCCTCACGCAGGACTTTCAGCGAAATTACCCGCGGGGCCGTACGGGTCATATGATAAATGTGAAATAAGGTCAATCTGTGGGCAAGGGCCAAAAATAAGATGAAATGGAATGTAGCTTTGTTTAATCAGGTGATTAACTATTTGATATTATTTTTGCGGCGGTTTTTCTTTTTCCTTTGACAAATTATACAACCTTTGCCTGGCTTTAAACCCCTGCGTTACTTATTTACAAAATTGGTTTTCTTTTTCTATTATCAATAACATAGTTCATTAGCAAACAACTATTGTAATGCTACAACCTTAAAACATATTTCAACAGGAAGCTTGCTTTTCCAGCTTCATTAAAACAAAACATTTTATGAAAACAGTACAGCTCTTGTAAATAACGCGAAACGTGGTATGTTATCACACCTTTCATTTTCACTATAATGTACTTTTCTTTTCTTTGAGATACCTCACAAAAGCCAGCTTATAAAAGGTTGCTTTTTGCGTTTCCCACCACAAATTAAAGAATTAAGTGGCAGAAACTTGCAGGCAACCAGGATGAAGTACTTCGTAACAGTTTTTCTTTTTGCGCTAGTGGCAGGTATCCGATCGGAATACTTTGAAGACTTAGTCCTCAACGATGGTGAAATACCTCCAAGACACCCGTATTTTGTAGGTTACAACACAGTTCTTTTTATTTCTTCATTAATGAACACATTTAATTGCTCACTTTTATTGCTTGTTTCTTTTTTTCCTGCTTTTCACACTATTCATCATGCAGAATGGCTGTTGTTCTCGTCGGACATTTTACTCACAGTCGTATGTTAAGAACATAGGGCCGAAATATTACAGGTGAAGCGTGAACTATATCACTCGCATGGGCAAATGTCTGCGCGGTCTTTCCTTTGTGTAGGGAATACGGCCTTGCTCATCAACTTGTAGGGCAGAGCAGAGAAACAAAAACCATGCGACTTTTTGTTTATCCTTTTTTGATCCAAATTTTGAATGGCTAATATTTATCATGTTGTCTAGACTAAACGTGGTGGGCTTCAAAACATTGATGTACGTGAATAACCTTTACCAATGGAAGAATAGCGGCTTGAGTGATTTTTCCCCTCGGGTACCTGAGTATGGACGAGGCACGTGATAGATTTTACCTTATTTTACCTCATGTTATTAGTTCGCTGTGTTTCTTTCTCCTAAGAATTAGCCTCAAACTCGTTAGTTTAACATTATATCATGTAGCCCCATGAATTTAAAATGACCAAATGGCAGATAGGGTAGTTTGTATTTGTCTCGGAATTGTATGTATAACTTGCAGATTTGTTTGCTTCGTTTGTGTCCTTTTATACACAGAGGAAATTTTCTATCACGAATACCTTGATTTATACGGGTTTAACCCATTCGCTCCTGGAAATTTTGCCGAAAAACGCGTTTTGAAGCTAGTCGAGTGGTTTTCTGGTCACTGTCGTGCTATAAAGAGCTAAAACTTACCACAAACCGGTTTACAGGTCGTACACTTCGCGGCCTTCTGATCCAGATGCAATGCGTTTTGAAGCTAGTCGAGTGGTTTTCTGGTCACTGTCGTGCTATAAAGAGCTAAAACTTACCACAAACCGGTTTACAGGTCGTACACTTCGCGGCCTTTTGATCCAGATGCAAAATATCAGCTTGCGAAGTTCGGGCATGCGCAGAAAGCAAAATTGGGTTTAAAAGTGACACAGCAGTCTTAACTTATACTTTTCGCTTTCTCTCCTCCCTTCTTTTTCCGCTTTTCTTGCCTCATTTTTTTTCTCTTGCTGGGCATTTAGTAGGCTTCATTTTGGTGGGAAGAGTTTTTAGGAAAGCTTTTAGGATCTTAGGATTAGGTGAGAGGAAAGGTAGGTGAGCAATGGAACAAGATTTTCATGGAGATTTTCAGGTCAATGTCACGTGGTTTTTTGCTTCTTTCTCCGGTGTCCTTGACTGAATTGTGCTCATTCTGGTATGGTTTGAAAGATTTTTTTACTCTACACAAGTTAGCGAAGAAAGTTGTCCTTCACCGTTAAAACTGATGACCTCACAAATGGTAGAAAGGACCTGGATCCACACGGGCGGTTACGGGCGGTTCAGGGGCGAATGGGTTAAGGAGGAAGGGATAATTCAAAATAGCAGATCCAAGATGGCAGATGTTTCCAGTTGTTATCTTAGTTGAATTTTTGCAAAATATGCATTGAAAAGCTAGGAAAAGCCAGACGTTTGGAGGGTGCTCCCTATTCCTCAGTGGTTTATTCAAACCAACCGATGATGTTTCCAGTTCGTTCATTACCGGTAATAATAAATGACGTCATCGTGGCATCACTGCTATTGTTAAAGACGATTTAAAATTACGTTAATGAACTTCTTGATCTTATAATGTAATGACTGATTAATTATTTTTCGCTTTATGGTTACTTTAAGGGGGACGAAAAATAATGAAATTTTGGTTTCTACTAAAAAAATCCAACAATGCCACGTCATATGGTGTTAAATTAATTGTCATTGTGTTAATCAAGTAATACCTAGGTGTTGGAATTGATGAGTACATTATTGGCTGTAACAAACGGTGGGCGTATCTTGAGCGCCCGGTTTTAAAGTTATAGACGGAGGCCTCCGAAGGCCTTCGAAGGCCCTCCGACGGTCACAGAAAGCAAATTAACAAGCTCGGCTTGAGAAGGGTTAAGACAATACAATTATTTAAATAAAAACTTCATTACTTTTATACTGTTTTGCCTGATAAAAGTAACCGTAACGTGTTTTCATAGCAATGCAAAATCGACCTGTACGATTGCATGTTTCATGATGACACGAAAGGCTGGTGGACTTGTACGAAGGAATACGTCACCTGCATGAAGCAGCTAATACCACCCAGACCACAATCCGTTGTAAGTATATTATCCATTCCTACAGTCGAACCCCGCCTAACGGCCACCTCGGTAATACGGTCACCTCGTTATTGAGACCGCTTTTTTTCGGCCCAGCAAAACGGCAATACATTTTCTTTAAAAAAAAAAAAAAAACTTTTGTTGATGCGGTAAAAACTTAAACTATAGAATCTTTTATAATTTTACCCCCTTAATGCGGCCACGGGCAAAATTAAAATCCGTGTGACATTCCGATTTCATTGACCTACTACTAGCTGAGCCTGTTCTTATTTAACAATTATTCCTCGAGGCCTCATAGGCTATTGACTCAGAGCCCATGAGGGCGAAAAGAATAATTGTTTTAGTAAAATATCGAGACAAAACAACTTAAGCTAGCAAAACGCGATTCAGCCGCCATTGTTTCGGTTTTCAAGGTCGCAGCTTTTCGCTACTAGTGGGCAATAACACATAGCCTAGTAGTAGCTCAACCATTCAGAACGCAGCATTGATAATAGGCCACTAGTTGGATCTTACTAAATTGCTTTTAGACTGCAGTTTACTTAAAATGCATTTGTGGCGGTTTAATAGCCAATTTTACAAGAGTTTTATGTACCGAAGGAAAGATTCCAGTAGTTTTATAATAATTACTGTAACTTACTTTTACTCTTGTATTTACTGTACGCGATATATGTATTCCGGTTGTTTATTACATTGTAAAGAGAACGATTGTTCAAAAGTGCGAATCGCTCGGCGATATATGGTGTATTTGTCATTACGGCCCCTCTTAAGTCATGAAATTTGACCCTCATGCCACCCAATGCATTTTTTTTTTTCATACCTTGTTTTTCTTTGTCTAAAGACGAGAAAATGATAAATGATAAGGGGGTTTCTGTTAGCCAAAAGTAGAGCTGTGCTTTTACAAGAAATTTTGAGAGGAACGCTACTTACTTGTTCCTTCAAGGCTATTTATACAAGTTTTTAGAAAATCCGTGGAATCAATAAGCAAAGACAACAAGTTTAATTGAATGAACTAACCATTTTTATTTTCCATTCTCTTTAGCAATGTACCATAGACTTATATTACTGTTTTAAAGAGAACCAAGTTGGAAACTTTGAGTGTACCAGTATATTTGGCTCCTGCTTAAACAAAGAATTACCTTCATTTATAGTAAGTATATAAAAAATAACTTACTGGTATTCTTAACTATACGATAAAGGAGGAAGTTACTACAGGTTACCAATAGGGATAGGAACATGTATATATCATGCCCATCCCCCCACCCCCCTCTTATATGAAGGTCTGGATCCGCCACTGCGTACTAATTATTATTGGATGTAGTAGAACACAAGGAGGATTAATATGTGTGTATTGCGTCAGCCTGATTAAAAGCATGTTGAGATGTTGAGTTGTCCAATATTCTGAGACGAGACCATTACACAGAGTTCAATACCATCAAACCGAGGTGATACAACCCAGTTGACTCTGAAAATGACTACCACGTAGGTTGTCCAAACGCTACAACAGTCCTATTCAGGACTATGATCACCAAGACGATCATGCTCCACCTTCCAACGATCACAATTGAAACAGCTGTAATTGAAAACTAGCTGCTTTAGCCTGATGTTGACTATTTTAAACTAATTTTTGTCCTCCGCAGCAAGCTTGTAATAAGGAAGTCGCACAGTGTTGGAGCTCAGCCTCAGACTATAATATAGCAGCGAAATTCAAGTGCTGTACATCATTTGCATACTGCTTTCTCAATGGACCGACTCCAGCCCCAAGTATGTACCAAGAGATACGGCCCCTGCATGGAGGCGGTAATACCACCCCAGCCCCAATCAGTTGTAAGTTTATTTTCCATTCCCTACGTCGAACCCCGCCCAACGGCCCCCCCGGTAATTCGGTCACCTCGTTATTACCACCGCTTTTTTTCGGCCCAACAAAACGGGAATACATTTTCAAAAAAAAAAAAAAAAAAACTTTGGTTGATGCGGTAAAAAGTTAAACTATAGAATCTTTTATAATTTTACCCCCTTAATGCGGCCACAGGCAAAATTAAAATCCGTGTGACATGCCGATTTCATTGACCTAGTACTAGCTGAGCCTGTTCTTATTTAACAATTATTCCTCGAGGCCTCATAGGCTATTGACTCAGAGCCCATGAGGGCGAAAGGAATAATTGTTTTAGTAAAATATCGAGACAAAACAACTTAAGCTAGCAAAGCGCGATTCAGCCGCCATTGTTTCGGTTTTCAAGGTCGGCGCTTTTCGCTACTAGTGGGCTATAACATATAGCCTAGTAGTAGCTCAACCATTCAGAACGCAGCATTGATAACAGGCCACTAGTTGGATCTTACTAAATTGCTTTTAGACTGCAGTTCACTTAAAATGCATTTGTGGTGGTTTAATAGCCAATTTTAAAAGAGTTTTATGTACTGAAGGAAAGATTCCAGTAGTTTAATAATAATTATAATAATTACTGTAACTTACTTTTACTCTTGTATTTACTGTACGCGATATATGTATTCCGGTTGTTTATTACATTGTAAAGAGAACGATTGGTCAAAAGTGCGAATCGCTCGGCGATATATGGTGTATTTTTCATTACGGCCCTTCTTAAGTCATGAAATTTGACCCTCATGCCACCCCGTTAATACGGCCAATTTTTTTTTTTCACCCTTGTTTTTCTTTGTCTAAAGACGAGAAAATGATAAATGATAAGGAGGTTTCTGTTAGCCAAAAGTATAGCTGTGCTTTTACAAGAATTTTTGAGAGGATAGCTACTTACTTGTTCCTTCAAGGCTATTTATACATGTTTTTAGAAAATCCGTGGAATCAATAAGTAAAGACAACAAGTTTAATTGAATGAACTAACCATTTTTATTTTTCCTTCTCTTTAGCAATGTACCATAGACTTATATTACTGTTTTAAAGAGAACCAAATTGGAAACTTTGAGTGTACCAGTAGATTTGGCTCCTGCTTAAACAAAGAATTACCTTCATTTATAGTAAGTATATAAAACATAACTTACTGGTATTCTTAACTATACAATATAGGAGGAAGTTACTACAGGTTACCAATAAGGATCTTCGATTCATACCAATTTACGAGCCTTACAATAAAACGCGTTGCACACAAACCGATACTAAACCACTTTACGACGGCTACTTACTAATGTTAAGGACAAAGACAAACCGGAGGACAGACGAGGAGCAGTATACAAGATCAAATGCTGCGACTGCCAGGCCACGTACATTGCTGAGAACGGCAGAAACCTTCTAGTATGCACGTGACTGACTGAACACAAACGAGCAACAAGACATGGTGATCAGTTCAACAACCACATCAGCTAAACACCATTTACGGACAAAACATCAAATCGACCGGGACTCTGCGACATGTATTGCGTATTCCACAGACCACTATCAACGACTCACTGTAAAAAGCAGGTTTACTTCTGAACTAATTTATTGGCACCATGCAAACGCGTTATTGACGGACTCACGCAAAACTGTCAACGCCTGCAGACAATCTGACTAACAACAAACTGTGACAACGGATCGAGACGCACCAATGACATTTAGAGTTTTCATAGCTAACAACACTATGGCTTAATTGATAGACGACCAATAACATCGCGACTTACTTGACCAATCAAGTTAATAACCAGAGTGTAGTGCACCGGAGGTAGTTATACCTGTTGTTGCTGCGACTGTAATACCGTACCCGTGGCGATTCCAGGGGATGGGCCATCCTTATTTTTAGACCAAACTTAGGCCCGAAGGGCCAAAAAAAAAATTGTTTTGAGACTGCACCCCCCCCCTCCCCTTATCTCAGGGTCCGGACGACCAGACCCCACCCCCCAGAAAAATAATATAGAATAAAAATAAGCAGAATGTCACTTAACAAAATATTCATGTTTCTAATCAGAAGCCCTCTAGCGGAAATGCTAAAATACAAAAACTAATAGCAAAACATATATTCGAATGCTTTGAAAAAAGGAAAGGGGAAGACGGCAAAAAGTAAATACTCTAGGACTTAATTAACTAATAACTTATTAGCCATATATGGTTAGGAATTTTTCTTGTTTGTAATTTTAGTTATTTGGGAATAGTTGATATACTCCAAATAAAAAACTTGTATATATCATGCCCATCCCCCCACCCCCCTCTTATATGAAGGTCTGGATCCGCCACTGCGTACTAATTATTATTGGATGTAGTAGAACACAAGGAGGATTAATAGGGAGCTTAAGCAAAGACGTTTTTGAGCGACGCACGTCAACCGGAAGTGAGGCCTTCTCCGTTTTTATATGCCTGGACACTACCAAATTTGTATTGCTGAGTTTCTTTTCTCCTATAAAGACGATTTACCCAAGAGTTTCAACCAAACCACAGCCCAATGCTGCAAAAAGTCCACTTCCGGTTGACGTCCGTCGCTCAAAAACGCTGTTGCTTAAGCTCCCTAATATGTGTGTATTGCGTCAGCCTGATTAAAGGAAGGTTGAGTTGTTGAGTTGTCCAATATTCTGAGACGAGACCATTACACAGAGTTCAATACCATCAAACCGAGGTGATACAACCCAGTTGACTCTGAAAATGACTACCACATAGGTTGTCCAAACGCTACAACACTCCTATTCAGGACTATGATCACTAAGACGATCATGCTCCACCTTCCAACGATCACAATTGAAACAGCTGTAATTGAAAACTAGCTGCTTTAGCCTGATGTTGACTATTTTAAACTAATTTTTGTCCTCTGCAGCAAGCTTGTAATAAGGAAGTCGCACAGTGTTGGAGCTCAGCCTCAGACTATAATATAGCAGCGAAATTCAAGTGCTGTACATCATTTGCATACTGCTTTCTCAATGGACCGACTCCAGCCCCAAGTATTGCTGCCCTGAAGGTTGAAGACGCAAGCCAAATGCAGAATGTCAGCGGTGGAATTGTGAGAGTCCCTAATAAATAGGCTAACTACCGGCAGGCACAAAACGCAAGTTACCGGTCACAGGTCACAAGTGCAGGTTATAGTACAGGACACCATGCTATGGTAAATAAACAATCCTAAATCGTCTCCTAGCCCTATTCACAATCCTAAATAGGAAATAGGAGGAAACAATTTACTCAGTCATTTATCAACAGAGAAGTGACCTGCACTCATTGCGACCTGTTACCTGTTACCTGCCAGTTGACTACGTGTGTCAATTTGGGCGAAAATGACGTGTTAGCAAGTTGTTGGCCAGATTCTATGTCTTTGAAATTAATCGATCACTTTGTTTATTTGGTGACCGTAGCCGCTGATTATACGTCACCAATTGCTTATTTTAAGAAAGCGATTGGGCATTCATTATTTGAGAGTATAGCTCCTGAGTTCACCATTTTCTATTTTAGCTGAACTGACGGTTAGCCTCCTATGAGTTGGTGTTTTAATCGTTTTTTTTAAATTGAATTCTTGGTTCACAATAAAAGCGGAATAAAAACAAAACGGGGGTAAAAACAGGAATCTGATTACGGTGTTAGAATGAGGATGAAAGGAGCAGCTGGTATAGAGTCTAAGTAGGGAAAACTGGGAAAACTTAAACATTAAAGGAAAGCTTTGCGAAAGCTTTATTATGTATGCCTAAAAAATATCACTCAAAAAAGGCCAGCTCGACCAGAGCTGTAATAAAGTAATGACTATGAAGAAGTTGTTATCGAATGGCTTTTGGACCCATCTATGAAGCCAACTGGAATTCATCAGTAAACTTGATAATTAATATTGTATCAGCATTTGTTGTTGTTGTTGTTGTTGTTGTTATTTTTCCGTTTTTTCAGCAATGCAAAAAGGATCTTCGCGGCTGTTTAAGAGCTGGTGAAGACAAGAACGTTTGCTTTAAAAAATACAAAGCATGCATGTACGCCCTTGTCCCTCCCTATGTCGTAAGTTAAAACATTTTGTATCACCACTTATTTTAATTATATCCTATTTAATGAGTACTCTTTAATTACTTACTCTTACTTAGTTTAGGAGACAAAAAAAGCAAAATATTCGTAATAAAACATACAGAACAAAGGGCCTAATAGTCCACTTAAAACTTCTAAACTGTCATACAAAGTTATGTAGTTACTTACCCTTTCAGTTTCAACCATTTCCTAAATTAAAGCTTGGCGTCTCGTCGCTCTTAAAAGAAATACCCTGTTTTTTATTGTTATTTATTTATATACATATTTGTCATTAGTTAGTTATTTATGAGCACACCTTGGGATCCATTTGTTTGCAGAAACAGTGTTATGCGAAAGCCAAAGAGTGTCTTGCAAATACCAGTGGCTTCAAAAAGTATAAGTGTGTAAGGGACCTCGCCATCTGTCTGAAAGATGGCGCTCCTACTACAGCTCCACCAAAGCCTTCAGCTTCTTAATTCAGCGCTGGAAGAGTGGGTTGGAAAAACCACATTGGCGACAAGAAAATATAATATTTTCATGTGTAAGGCATAGAATAGTACAACAAAAAATTAAACAGTTCAAAAGAAGCACAGTTTGTTTTAAATGTCTCAAGTTCCCTTTTGCATTTTCCGGAAGGGACACCTGCAATCCAGGACATAACTAACCCTCCATTTCCAAGCCTACAGTATACCCTTGTTATGAGTTTCCCTCTTTTTATTTATCATAATGTTTCTGGCCCCGTTCAAGTGAATCAAGATATTTTTGAAATGTTTTTTTTTCCACACGAATAGCCGGGTCAAGGAGGTTTTTTTGCCAATCACACCATGCTTTTAGGTCCTTATGTCGGATTTTCAATGGCAGGTCTTAGATCGCAAAATTCGACTTGTAATGCTTTCAAAGTTTTTTTTTGTTTAACATAGTGATGGTTTTACTCCAAACGAATTTCACGTAAACAAATCGCTTTTAAGGCGATTGAAAAGATCGGTATGATCCCCGAAAACTGTTTCGAGAGACCTTCAGAAAAAAAAACACAAACGTGTATGTGCACACCCCCCTCCCTTCCAAAAAAGTGTCTATTTGCCGCCATCACCTTCTTATTATTAGGGAGCTTAAGCAACGACGGCGGCGACGTCAACAAGAACGGCAAAAAAGCAATTGGTTTAGATTGACAAAACAACAACTTTTCTCGTGCAGCACGCTTTTTTTCAATTTCTTTGCCGTCACTGTTTAGCACTACCACGACGTGAAAATGCATATTTCCTTCGGTGGAACACAAAGTACAGGATTCGCGCTCAGGAATGTTTCAAAGTTGCATTCGGATGTCCCGAAGTTGCTTCCGAATGTCCCGACGTTTCTTCGATATCTTCGAGTTCTTTGATTTATTCTGACTTATTTTTGTTTATTATTCTGGCTAAAGTATTTTACAAAAAACATTGAAGCAATTTGGGCTAGTAGCTTCAAAATACGAGCGAGAAGCCTGTTTAATATGTCGTTTCTCCAATACGTTTGAGAGATACATATTTCTACTTTATGTTGCGATGTTACACATGAATTATCCTCGGTGTGGAGATTGTGCATTTTCAGCAAAGTTTTTAAGGGAGTGTACTGCTGTTAGTTAGTTACGTTGCTGGAGAAGGTGTGGAGTTAACTGTACATAAGGAAAGTGTTGTTGTAGAGGAAATAAGAGAAGTGGAACTGAGATCTCGTCGTGCGCATTTTCTTTAATGACAGACTTGTAATCGAATTGGGTTACTGCCACCAGCCACGGGGTCATGCACCTAGCAGACTTCAGGTAAAGAAGTTAAGACGTCTTTAACACAAAAGGAGAAAATTAAAGGTTATTTGTACGGAAAGGTATCCGGAAAAATATCATTTCTTACTATTCCTCCGCATTCACAATTAATCCTCAACTTCGACGCCGAAGTGTACCCTCCCATTGTGTCTAGTTTCAGGTTTTTTGGAGGACGTGAACGCAAGACAACGACTTTCTTTTTTCTTTTCCTGAACTTCGATACAGTCTTTTAGAATTCAACTCCGGAAAAAATTGCAAACATTTGACGAACTGAACGAGATGGAATAAAGGCGATAAAGTTTGAGGCAGCGCGACTCACTTTTAGAGTGACATTTTCGTAGCCGTCGCCGTCGTTGTTGCTTAAGCTCCCTATTCATTACTTCACACATTTTGGCCCGATGTATGGGCAATCAGTTGCCATGGTTAAGACATATGACGTCATAACACGAAATTGAATCAAGCCAGGCAGGTAAGACTCTTTCGTCCTTTTCTTTTGTTCATTAAAAAATCGAAGAGAATAGGTTAAAGTAGAAGAGAAAGTAGCAGTAGAAGAAAAAGAACAAGGCATTTAAGAAGAAGACGAAGAAGAATAGACAAAAGGAAAATAAACAATCATTTAAATTTGCAATGTAGTTGCAAAATCATTCATAGATCATTAAAATTGCTCAATTGCCCTTTATCTTTTTTAACGTGATAAAAACTCCATTTATATTTTCTAAAAATATACTGTAAAAATTCCGTGCACAAAATCACAAGAAGGCAAAATGTTAGGTCTTTGATGTTATGATTAAGGGCGACTACCACATGTACAGTTTTATCTCTGATATTACCGATACTCTTACGAAAGAGGAACTACAAAATTAAACGACGTGCCAAAACCCAAATCAATGGGATTTTGTTGAAACCGTTAAACTGATCTGTTTAGATCTAAAGTTGGGCTATTTGGTTATGCAATTCAGACTCATATAATCGAGAATACTTTAGCCCACCAATTTATTTTTCAATTCTATTCCCTTGTTTGATGGACGTAAACAATAGGGCCATTTATACGAAAAAAAATAAGACGCGTCTTACTTAAGACGCGTCTTAAATAAGACGCGAATTTTCCATATAAACGGCACATTTCGTCTAAAATAAGACGCGTCTTAGCTAAGACGCGTCTTATTAGATAAGACATGCTCGTATAAATGGTTCAGTTGGCGTCTTATTTAAGACCCGTCTTATGTAAGACGCGTCTTATTTTTCCTCGTATAAATGGCCCTATTATGACTTAAATAACTACAACTGCCCCCTAAACTTTGTTTATTTTGATCTAATTCCCAAAACATTTTGGCCCCGCCAATCCTGGTCCGACCCGAACAGCTTCACTTGGAATTTGGAGCCTCAAGTAAAAAAAAAAAAAAAAAAACCTTGAAGTACCTCGCAAAAATGACAGTCGCATCCTTAAATGACTTATTAAAAATGCTTTACCCTACATTCTGTTCTCCTTTGGAATTAAGTAAGACGATCTGGTGATTTCTATTTTGGCACTCTTATTAATGGAAGAGTAAATGTTGATACTTACAGACAACTGATGCATTGTCCGCCATTATTGCCAGGAAAAAAAGAAGATTCATTAAAAGTTTGCTTTAAGTCGATAATATTTCACTGTAATCAGATGTTGGCACTTCCAACTTTATTGCATTACTTGAGTATTGACTTTTATCGCCTGTTGCAGGTGATTTATTTGCGGAAATTTAATTTATCTCTTGCTCATCAGATGTCCTTGTTTGTACTGTTCGGTAACCTGAATAAATGACCCAACGTAGTTAACGCCTTTATAAGCAAGGGGCTACAGATAATCTCTAGTACAGAATAGGCGAGTCTACGAGAACGATGAAGTCTTTTATTGCCCTTTCACTCTTTGCTGCCTTCGTGGCTTTCGTTCGTGCGGAGGATTTTGCCAACTTTGACGACGAAGCTAATGAACCAGGTTTTTTTGTGAGTTTTTTTGACATTTTGCCTTAATCTAATTGTTAATTGTCTGAAAAAGTTTGGACAAACCAAAAAGGTTGAGAAGTGCACCTCGAAATATTTCAGTCGTGTATGTTAAAAATTTCCGTTTCCATTTAAAAATATTTTGGTTTTTCATTACCCTAATTAAAATTTTTGGTCGCAAAAAATTGCTTTACTAGGAAAAAATGAAAAAAGAAAAAAAGGCAGGAAGACATCTGCGACAAACGTGCTGACGGTTTAAATCATTTCTCAACAAGATGAACTAAAAAGGCTAAGTAGCAACATACCTACAACAAGGGGGGGAGGGGGGGTGGGGGGGCCTTTTTGTTTTGGGATCGGTTAAATTATATCTAAAGTATTGATTGATTTCGTTTACTTATTTATTTTCTAAATGATTTATTTATCTTCAGCAATGTAAAGTTGACCTTTACAACTGCTTCAAGGATGGGAATGAAACCAAGACAGGGTGCCTTTCCAAATACAAAACTTGTATGGCTTCTCTACTCCCCACCATGCCTTATTTTGTGGTAAGTTAATAAGTTACCCATGTAACGTACCGTGAATATTTATTAAAGTAGCTATTTTTTTGTTTAGGTGTCGTAGCCTTGGAATTTTTTTTTAATTTTTATTGAACCCAAATTTGTTTCTGGCAGTTTTCGAAATGCCACTGCAACCGCAAAAGCTGGGAAGAAAAAATAACGACATACGAGGATCATTAAGAAACTGAGTTTAGATTTAAAGAACAGAGAAAATCACATTTTGATAGCATTATTAAGTAATATACTAGATCTTTTGCACGTGCGAGAATGGCGCTAATGAAAAACGTAAAAATTGAAAACGCCACAAGGGGTTTAATGAGGCATGCCTTAGTATGTCACTACTCTAGCAAAGTGCTAGATAGGGAAAGATAATGCAAAACTCTAGCAAAGTGCTAGAAAGGGAAAGATAATGCAAACAGCAAACGTAACGAATACGATTGAGGCTGTTGGCCTGCTTTGACTATGAATTCATGAAGCACAAAAATTGGAAATAAATTCTTACAAGTATGTCGACAAGACTGACATAATCAAGCTCTTGACATAATTTCTCTATGCAGATCTTTATCAACAAAGACATGGCTAATCCTGACCACTTACTACTGGTCACCACTAGAACAATTCCTTCCAAGCCTTTTCTTGTTGTTGTTGCTGTTTTTTTCGTTTTGGTTTGGTTTTGTTTTCTGTTGTTTGTAGGTTTGTTTGTTTTCACGTCAAACTGTTCGTTGACGGAGTGTTCAAGTTTTTTAGGTTTGCAACCTTTACAACTGAAGGTGTTCAACTTCCCTCTGCAACGCTTGACATTGGAAAATACACCATAAAGCATTTTATTTGCCTTTTTTTTGTCCTGTTTATTGACGAGACGGCAAAGCCATTACAATCTCCTCGAGTAAGGTTGTTAGCAAGCAATCTCACATCTTATCCTTCCAAGAGAGCTTCAAAGAAATCATGATAAGTGGAAGTTGTCTTCAAACTTCAACTTTTCCCATAGCCCGGGAAAACAGCCGACATTTCGCGACGCCACCACTTGTTTCCCCGCGAAATCACGTCTGCACAGAAATTCCATACTGATAACGCATCACTACCGAGATCCGAGTAGTGCTTCTGATTGGTTGAAAATTTGCTTCATCCAATCAGATGAACTACTCAGATCTGGGTAGTGACGCATCATCAGTATAGAGTTCCTGCGTTCGTTTCTCAGATAAATTATATTCGCGGGAAACCAGTGGTGGCGTCGTGAAATGTCAGCTGTTTTCAGTTCTCAGGCTACTTTTCACACTATGTCAAAATATTATTTAGGTGTTTTCTTGAGTTAAACAATTTCCTGGTATTATTCATCACAGACCCTTTGCAAGATGGACCTGAGTTGGTGCACGACACATTCACAAGATTGGAAAGAGACGGGCACGTGTTATCTTGAATTCGCCAAATGTTTGAAAGACGGAGGACCCACTCCTGTCACTTATGCCCCTGAGCCGGCTGCAGCCAAGATGGACGATCAACCCACCCGAGGACAATTTGCGGTATATTAATAGCATATGTTTATATTTTAAGGCAACTTGAAGGATTTTCTTTGGGAGGGGGGGTGGGGGGGGATTAAGGCCAGTTTTCTTAACGGTTCAGTACTACAATTCTGATTCGTAATTGCTGTACGTTCTATGCAAAGTGCGTTTTAATTTCGTATGTGGTTATTACTGTACTGGCGTACAAATATGATGAATTGGCGATGAGTCTTGTGCTTTGAAACTGAATAAGATAACATGCGTAATCATTCGTCAGACGATGAAGCGAAGCAATGTTAACGACATTGTCAAGGTAATAATGATACGATATACCGTGTAACTTCCTGTCAACAACAACGACAAAAAGCTCAGGCCTTGTGTAAACAGAACGACACCCAGCGGGTCATTCACACTCATCAGTTGCAAACATCGTACCCGAGCATGCGCACTTGGCCGAGAGGGTTTGGTTGACTAAATCCCAGTCGTCAATTCTGAATATTTACTCCCGGCTCAGTGGGTCTCAGTCCTCTCAGTCCACTAGCGTTTGAATACCACCCATTCACACGGCCACGTCTCTATCAAAATCAGCGAAGCGCATTCTTTAAATGTTCAACAAAATCCCTATCCGATGCTGTGTCGATTTTCTTGCTCACGCGTGAAAGAGGATATGTTTAGAATAAACAATTTAGATCTCACAAATATCGTTTGTGTTTTCTGCCTTCAATATATTCTATTCAGCAATGCCAGATAGACCTGTATGACTGTAACAATAGAGAAGATAAGACTGCCGCAGAGTGTTTGACCGACTACAAGACATGTATGGCCCAGCTGATTCCCCCTTACGTGGTAAGCGGCTTTTTATGCTTTACTATCAGTAAAGTATGTTTATGACTCGGTGCAAAAATACAAGACGTAAGGAAACTAAAAAATAGAAAAGAAGAAAAAAACAGGCAAAAAAAGAACAACAACGAAAAAAAAAACAAGAAAACATAGAAAAACATACAAAGCGAACAAAATAAAGCTATTAACTTTAAGGCTTTTATAATGGGTGATATAAACCGACAAAGATATATCTAGTGGTTTTAAGCGCCTATGTGGCTTAGATAAAAGAGCTTCAGCATCAGGATAAAATGCTGTTTGGTAAATAAAGTAAAACAATGCAATTTGCTTTAGAGCATTAAAAAAAAAACAAAACAAAACCAACAACACTAACAAAAAAAACAAAAACAAAACAAGAACAACAACAACAAAAATTATCTAAATCCCGTGGAATCCTTAAAATTAAGCGGAAATATACTTACTCATTGACAAGAATTCAAAGGGAACGCACAATGCAAATTGAGAATTTAATATTTTTCACTGTATTTAACTCCGGTTAAATAAACTCTCTATGGGACAGTCAGTTAAACAAAGCCCATAACCTCCGGAGTTAAAGAAGCAATCACTGTGCTACAAAATCTGTTCAGTTGTGAGGTTGTGTTTTAGTTTAAGTAGTACTTTTTAAAACTTTAGGTTATGGCTGAAAACCTGGCTAAAGCAAAATAGATATATTTTGGACGCAAGGTTTGGCCAAATTTCAAACAGCTTTAAGGGCAGGGCCTGTGTCATTTACCGGCGCCGCTATGCGTTTATTATTGTTGGGCCAGTTTTTCGTATTTAAAAAATCTGTTGTGTCCTGTCAGACTTATTATCCTTTTTTTCTCGTAGGAAACATGCAATCAGGAATTTAAAGAGTGCGAAAATAACGCCTCTGGGTTTCTTGAGAAAGCCAAGTGCGCTACTAACTTTGCTGTTTGTCTAAAGAATGGAGGGCCAACAACTGCTCCAGCTCTTTGAGACATGTTGTGTGTCTTGAGTTTACCGTACTGTCTTCCACACTGTAATATGAGTACGAAATAAAGCACAGAATCAATAAGGATTGTTTTCCTTTTCTTTCTTCAGATTTAAATGCATTTTTGGTTTACCCCTAATCCTTCTTAAGAATCTTAAAATTAAGTATTGTCGAATACTTTGTGCATTTCTTCATCCTTTTGTACAAACGGGAAGCTGACCAGTGCTAAAACGCGAAATACTGTTTCACTAATAGAATAGCAGGTCATTTGCGATATCGGGTCTTCCACTCTCTTACTTTTTAAGACGCGCCGAAGTGCTTTCATGTAATTCCAGTAAAAACTTGTCTTTCACGACGAATACGCATTATTTTGCAACGCTTCTTTATCTGATTGCATTTTTTCGGGAGTGATTGCTTTGGTTGTTTTCTCTTTATGAATTATTGAATTGAAGAGTTTGAAGACGTAAATTGAAACACTGATATTCAAGTTTACTCTGTTGCTTTATTTGCGATCTAAAAGTCTTGTAAGCTAATTTTACATGGGTATATAAAACCTTCAATCTTTTCCTGTACCAAAATTACCTTCCAAAATGATAACACACAACCTGTTTCTTGTAATTGGCTGCATTATACCTATTGTCAGAAAATGTGGCATCGCTCACTTAAAATAATAAATTTATAATTCGTTAGCAAAATATAGGGGAGTTATGATTGTTCGGGGCTAACGTATAATCGCTTCCAATTTTCCTTTAAAATTTTATTGTGATCGTGAAATGGGAAAGCCGACTGATACATTCTATTTTTTCCCTTCTATTCATTTTATTTTAACGCCTTAATATGTTCATTTAAGATTAGATGTTTTAAACCAAAATTTTCAAGATTCTAAAAATTTGCAGATTGAAAGCAGTTCGCCTCTAATTTCTGCATCAACGGGGTTAGAAAAATCGTGCCCGAAACAAGATTACATTTGGCTTTTCTAAACATTCCATTGGTTCACAAACTTTGGCTGAGGGCGAGAAAAAAAAGAGAAAAAAACAAAACAAAATCAAATCAAATCAAAAAGTGCAAGCGGAACCAATTCATCTCGCTACAAAAACACTTCGTGCTTTTCTAGTTTTTAGTTGATTTTTCGTATTTGTTTTTACTATTTAAGATTGAGCTTGAATGCAAGGCGCAAATAAGACTCACTCACTTACTTAATTGTGGCCTCTTGCCTAACACAGGACTGTGCCCCCATATGTCTTTGTATGCCTTATTCTTACATAAAATAGGGGTTTAAAACAATTAGATTTGAAGCTTTTTAAAATAGCTTTTGACGCTGTCGTCGTCGTTACTGTCGCTGTTGTTGTTTTTGGACCATTAGACCACTGTATACGACCTTTGAACTTGTTCCTTATGCAGTGGGTTTAAACTTCCGCTTGAAGATCCTAATAAGACAGCAGTCATTGCCTTCCTCTGGGTACCCCTTATCGTCGTAACTCTCAAGGGAGGCTGTTGCACTCTGCCAGTGATCATTAAACTCTTGTAGTTCTTCCTTAACTGATTTCTTCGATGGCCCGTCGATAACTTCAAGAACGTCTTTTCCAAGCCGATTAACTCGATCCACCTTGACCTTCATACCCGGCCTTTCTTCCAGTTTAATCTGTAAAGTAAAATATGTGCTTTTAATTATCGAAAAACTTTTTAAAATATTCCAATTCAGCCTGAAATCTCTCTTTTCCCAGATTTTGATCACGCATTAATAATTTTTTATTTATTATTAATAATCACAGGAGTTCAGGCTTCAGGAGTAATCATTGATTGTTTATTGCGACAGTGCTGTTTCGTATGGTCCGAAATTGTAGGACCACACTCATCAGGCAACTTCAACGATTGACCGTTAAAATTACAAGCTGGCAGTAAAATTTGGGTGGTTGTTATAGGGACGCATCCCTATAACTGACTGGCCCGACAAGAACTAGAAGAAACCATGACTTTAAACTCAGGCCTAGAGCAGCAAGGACAAACTATTTTAAATTTTCATTTTTTAATCGTTACGTTAATGACTGGAACTTCTTTACCAAACTTCGTTATGTCTGCTTCCAGCTTGAACTCTTTCAAAACTTTATTACTTAATCATCTTTGTAAATAGTCATATGTTTATTATTTCCTACTGAATTTGGATTTTCCTTTTTATTTAATATCTAAGTAGTTTATTTAGTTGGTTTTTTTTCTTTCTCTTAGTATCACGTGATATATAGTTAGGTATTAGATTTCTATTCTTAATTGTTTTATCTTTTCGTTTTGGAGGGCAGTTTTTACATGGGAATTCAGTTCCCCCTATTGCTTTCCTTTACCTTTTGTACTTTTATATATGTATATATATATATATATATATTTATTTTGTACATTGGTAAAAAGAATTATTAAACTTGAACTTAAATAGCACTGTCGTAATAAACGATCAATGATTACTCCTGAAACCTGAACTCCTGTGATTATTAATAGTCAATGCTCTTCAATTAAATGAATTGAGCGCTCTACGAAATACGTTCTACCAAGAATAGAGGTAATTTTTTATTTAGCTATTTATTTATTTATGCTGTAAAAGGTTTGAACCCAGGAGTCATTTCAAAAGTAGGTTGAGTTTGATCGTCCAGGTGAACGTAGTCCTGAATAGGACTGTTGATGTTGACAGTGACTGACGTTTCGACAACCTGTGCGGTAGTCATCTTCAGAGTCAAAGTGAGTTGTATCACGTCAGTTGACTCTGAAGATGACTACCACACAGGATGTCGAAACGTCAGTCACTGTCAACAACAACAGTCCTATTCAGGACTACGTTCACCCGGACGATCAAACCCAACCTACTATTATTTATTTATGGAGGAATAGTTGTCACTGACTATAAAGAGCTAGTTTGAACACAGTCGTATAAAAAGAAAGAAACATAAAAGTCCTAAAATGAAAATCGATATAAAAAAAAATAACACGCTAAAAGAGAAACGCCAAGTCTAGCCCTTGGGATATGTGAATTTCAACAAGTTATTTTTAGACCAACTGAACGCTTGCAATTAAAGAGGTCGGCAAACATTTATTCACTTTTTCAAGAGAAAACGATGAAACATTGTACATTGTGCTCTCTTGCTGTGTCGCCATTAAAATATCATGTTCTTTTCCCTTTGAGGCAATCGTGCGTGGACTTGATGATCACGTTTCAAACAATCAATTAAAATGTGCGGACATAACAGGAATTACACTTCTGTTTAATAACAACCTCTAAAAATAACTTAAGTGAAATTCACATGTCCCGGCCAACACCTTCGGATTTCCCCTCTGTCTCATTATTTTCTCCTGGGGAACGTATTGAAGTCAGATTACTGACTTGTAATTGAACGGAAAAAAATATAGGCACGCGCACTATCCCATAGGCCCTATAGGGCAATTAAGGTTTCATTTGACACGTATTTTCACCGTGAGGATTTCGTTTATTTTATTTTATTTTTTTCACGAGCAATTCTCATGTCATCATCTTCTTTTTTTTTTTTTCAGGAGGTCTTTTGCGATTACATGTTTATCACATACCATGTATGTTTTCTTTTTTGGGGGGGTTGTTCGCGAGAATAAAAAAATCAGTAAATTTATCTACCTCTGCTCTTTTCTTGAAGTTCTCTAGATCCTCGGTCTCCATATCCTCCTTGTATTCTGCCATTAAACCTAAGCAGTCATCCACCCATTCATTTACTGAAGTCATCAGCTTGTGCATCTCCTTTAGCTTACTGTCTGCGTTCATTATCTGTGTGAAGTAGAATAACAAGCATCCATTTCCAGTGATCGTACGGAACATTTAAGAGTGGATGTCAGTAAATATCGACCAGAGGTCTACAAAAGTGAACAATCGAAAATTCTCAAAAAAATTCACAAAGTAGCACTAGGTAAGCTATTAACATAAATGTAATTTTTACTTCGATCCGATAATTATTTTCCACGTACGGGGGGGTTATTGGTTTCGCGGGTCTCGGACCGGGTTTTCCAGGCCCGAGACCATGTGTCGCAAAAAAATCGTTTTAAAATTCAAATCCATTGTAATGTGAACAACAAATAACTTATTCAGAAGAGTACTTAATTGCACACATTCTAAGTGGTGACTTCGTTCAATGAAAAAATGGCAAATTTCAAAGCCCAAAATCGTCGACTAGTACCTCGATTTCAGTAAGGAGTCTTATACCACGTTAAAGAGCGTTATCTCTTCTTTCAAAATCTGTTTTCAAAACTACGGGCAACTTAAAGCAAAATTTTTGAGGCCAAAAAATACAAGTAGTACTTTTCTGAAATTTGAGCTTTCCAGACGCGGCGGGCCGATGCTAAAAACTTGGAAAAACACAGTAAGAAATCAGTTTGAGCAATAGTGGTTTCATGTTATCAGCTTTTAGAAACCAAGACGTGTTTATACAGCGATCTGATATAAATTAATGCCGTTTGCTATCAAGAAAGGCAGATTTAAGCTGTCAACTCCTGCCAAGTGCACCAGTCACGTGAAGTTGTC